AAATATATATATATATATATATATATATATATATATATATAGACACACACTAAAGTGTTAGATTGAGAAAAACCAAAAAAATAATATCTCAAGTAATAATATTTTGTGAATGTGGTGATTTGGTCATTCTCTTTAGTTTTTTGCTGATTAGTATTTACCAAAACGAGGTTCTTTACACAATGTTGTCACAGAGATTCTTATCACCATTCTAGCTAAGAAAATTACTAGTTACCTGACACGTGATACATCGTATATTATATATTTTTTCAATAAAAAAAATATACAAGCTTTATAAACATATTTTTTTAACATAAAAATAAATCCACAGGCCTAAACAAGCATTTGACAAAATAAACCATGAACCATCTACTTGAATAAATGAGAAAATAAAAAGCCATTAATATTAACCGAAAACAAAACTAAAAAAACTTGATAGAAAAATATAAATTGAAATAATTGATCTCGTAATATTGAATGTTTACTCAATTATATTTGCTGAATTTATTTATCAAAATAAATTTTTTATTCAATCAAATGATAATATAAACAAATAAGCACATGAAATTGATTGAATAAGACAGGAGAAAAAAAAACATTTACATAAATTTGCACATATTATAAATATTTTTTATTTTTTTTAAATTAATCTAAATAAAAGATAAAAGTTTTTTATAGATGAACAATAATAATATTTAAAAAAACATAAAAATAACTAAGATAAAACCTCTATTAAAATAGGTTAAATAAGCGAAAAATAAAATAAAGTCATGGAGAATAAAAATTAATTGAAGCATAAATTAAAAAATATTTTAAAAAATACATGTAAAAAAAAGCTAGACAACTTGGGTTATAGCCCCAATATTTAAAAAACAAATAATGTTAACTAATGAAATTAAAAATAAAATGAGACAAAAAAAATTGATCCGAATTAACTTTTCAAACATATGACTTGGAACATTATATCAGAAGCACCATGAATAAAAAACTTGAAAAGCCTAATCCTTAACAAATTAAACATTAAAAAATTATATAGGAAAAAAATTAAACGAAAAGATATAAAATAAAAAATTGCAATTAAAATAATGAGGCTACAATTAAAATAAAAATTAAAGGGCAACCAAATTATTTTTATTGAAAGGTTGAATTGAAAGTAAAATGACTTTAACACAAGGAGAAAATAAAAAAATAATGATCAAATTAAAAAAAAAATGCAGCATGAACTTTGATTGAATGTTGAAATTGAAAAAAATAAGAATAGAAAAGTTAATAAAAAAATGAAAAACAAAAGGGTCAAATTAGAAGACATAACATATGAGAAATTGTAATTAAAGGACTATATTGAAAACAAACAAAAATTTAATAGAAAAGCCAAAAACAAAAATAAAAAATGAAGAAAATAAAGACTAGATTTTAAATACCAAAACCAAAAAGGACCAAGGTGTACATTTTAGGGTGAAAAGAGAGGAAAAAGAAAAAAAATAAGGAAGAAAAACTGTCACCGATAATGATGCAACCATTCATTGCCTATATGTACCGCACATACTATATTTTATATTATTAAAATATAGAAAAACCTCTAATTGTATGTGGCAATAATTTTTTAAAAATATTTTATATTATTAAAATATAAATATACTCCTAATTTCTCTTAAAAATAACAAAAAATTGATGTAAAAACCTTGTAAGACAATTTTATTTTTTTTATTTTAGGGATATTTTCGTTATTTAGTTGTGCAACGAAACAACAAAATCACTATAAACCCCTTGAACATAAAGCTTCTATTTTTTTTCTTTCTTTTTATAAGGTTACTTTTCTAATTATATTGTTCTAATGAGGTATATGAATATATAGTATCAATTGTTTTTTAAAGTGTTGTTTCTCATGGAAAAACATCAAAATAATAATTTTTAAAATTTAAAAAATTATTTTAAATATCAGTACATCAAAACGATTTAAAAACAAAAAAAAATCAAGTAAAATAATTATGTGAAATATTGTTTAGATTGCATTCTCAAACGGCGTCTAAGAAAAACATAGGTGTCCCTATGTAAAGACCATAATACCTTGCCTCTTGTTTTGTGTAAATAGGGAGCAAGGTAGGGGTTTCATTCTAGATTACTACAATGAAAACCCCATATCTTTTAGTGTTTTTTATTGGCCTTGATATACGAATTTTGTTGTTAGGCCAAATTACTTTTTTATACAAAAATTATATTTAAGTACCGAAATGAGGTTAAAAAATACATAAAAACAATCATGATAAATGTTTAACAACACTAATATCATAATCATGATAAAATTATATTTTATTGTTATTAAAAATATTGAATGAACAAAAATACCCCTAACCAAATCTATAACAATAAGCAAACTATATGAAATTATAAAAACACTCGTGGCTCTAGGGTAGACTATTTTTTTAAGGACATCGACATCACTTGACCATTATAATGAATAGTGGATTATTTTTAAAGCTACAAGGAAACCTCTTTCCTTTTTAGTTGTTGTTTTATCAGTTTTTTTATTATTATTATTGGTATCATCATCATTTTTAGTTGTTTTTTTATTAGTTTTTTTTTATTATTGTCACTATTAATATCAACATTATTGTTGTATTGTCATTATCATCATCATCATCATTATTATCATTGTCACATAACCATGGTCATCGACGTCACTATTATTATTAGTAATATATTCATTATTATTATCACTATTACTACTTCTACTGTCATTATTATTAATGATAGTAATAGTAATAGCAACAACAATAATACCATTGTTAGTAATATTATTAGTAGCATTACTATAATTATTGTTATTATTGTTATTGTTA